GTGGCTTTAAAAAGGTCATCGTGAGTGTAAATATTCTGCCCGTCTTCTGCCACATCTTTCTGTAGATCATAATGCGCTTTTACAGACGGTGAAACATGAGGCACGTATATTATATAATAGACCAGGAATTATGCTGAGAGAAAAGTGAAGCGGTTTTGGAGGCCTCCTTTCACACTGAGAGTTGATCCTAACAACAGGAACATTTTGTTAAACATTCTCTGTGTGTTTTATTAGTGGGAAGAAAAAAAATCCGTGTGTTTTTAAGACTGCCCTTGTAGCTGTCCTTTTGTTAGTGTCTTTCTCTCAGCAAGGCTGTGGGACCAGTTTCCCCCTCATTTGCAAAACTGAGAAACATACCAGAACTTGCTCCAGAAGGTTTGAACGGTGGTGGAGTTAGAAACCTTGGAAATCTTATGTATAAATAGCAAGTGTGGAGATAGCTGTAAACTAATTATACATTTCCTCTCTTAAGCTGAAACAGCTTTCTTTTTTTCAGCCTCTATTCTCTTTGGTCCTCCTGAGTGCATTCAGGAAAACAGATTCAGCAGTAAGTACAGGCGCCCGGCTTGAAGCCGTGGCTGCTGCATATCTGACGTTAGCAAAACAGGCTTAGTCCCAGAACAGCTTCCTCCTGGCTTTGATCCGTGGCGCGTATGGGGCGAGTCCCTGTGGCACTTCCATAAAGTGACCCTCACCAAGTGTCCTTGTTCACCCAGAAGGGAGGCTCTTGGTTAAGGTTCAGTTACCAGATGAATCAGTTGGCATTTTTCTTCCTTGTTCTGACCTAACAAATTCCTGCCTCATCCCTTGCCTATTTACAATTTGAAATCTGTTAGCCATTGGACAGCCAGTATACAAAAAAATAAATAACTTTGACATTAATGGTGATGTTTACAGTGCTTGTCTTTCAATTCCCCCCTTCAAGAAAGAATTTCCATTTGCATTGGAAAATAAATTTCTCAAACCTGTACATTGTACTGTTGTTATGGTGGTTCATTGACATGGTTTTGCCTTGAAATAAAAATTGTAAGCCGTAATAGCTAATGGAAGTAATTTCTGGTTTTAAAACACAAAGACCAGTATAAAATCTAAATTTAATTAAAAGGTAGTTGGCTTAAAAGAATAGCAGGATTCAAGAATTTACGTTACACGAAGAAGTTGTGCGCCGTATTCAGATTTTTCCCATGAGAGTTTTCTTGGTAGAGAAAGCATTTTTTAAAAAAATAAATAAATACTGCCGGATTTAGCACATATGCATTTATTCTTTGTGATAAGCCATCAAAGCAAGTTACAACTTACTTTATATCTAAGTCTCTTCCAAATGCATCCATCTGGCCCCTTCTAGGCCCCCCCACATCCCCCAGCGAAATAGGCTCGCCCTGGCATTCCCCAGCAGTCACTTCAGCCCAAGTGTTTGTTGTCTAATAGCATTCTTAAAAACATGCAGCCAAAAATTTCAGTCTCATTCGTGAAATATTACAGCTTTGTATCGAGGCTGTCGTGTAGAGCGTGTGCTTCCCCGCCCCTCTGGAGCACCGGTCTCATCCCATGTTGATGGTGGGACAGTGCGGGGAGTGTCGGTGACACTTGAAGTGATAGTGTCATGGTGCTTCATTCAGGCCCAGCAAAAAAAAATGTAGGTGCTGATTCTAAACTATGTGCCCAAAATAAGAAACCTGAATTGCATTGAAGAATTTTTTCCTTCTCTGGTTGTAGTTTTTAAACTATGTGTTAGTCAAGAGGCAAAACTTACTACGGAACTTCGCTTATAAAATCCAGTTTGTTTTGTTAGGTTCGTTGACTCGATGAACAGGTAAAGGCCCAGTGGTCAGACTGCCATCTTTGCACAATGTCCTCTTCGGTTTTGTTTCCCTTCTTCAGTGTTAAAGGAATATAAGTGAAAGGTTATTTTACTTTGATGAGAAAAACTTTGTTACATTTGGGTAATTATCACTTATAATGGCCTTAATCAAAATGATTTAGTGGGTAGAAAAATGCTTATATATTCCATGCATACTTTCTACAATTGAGAATCCGTTGTAATTTAGCAAACCTGTCAATGGGAGAAAAAGGAGATTACCTGGGGACACTTACCAACTTCCGTGAATTTGGAGATGAACCCTAAAAATACTTAACACCTGAAAAACCAGTGGAAATGTAAATTTTTACCTTTAAAGTAAATAGAGATTTGTTGGGTTGCTTAAAACCTTGAGAAAAGCAAAAAGTCCTTTTTTAGTAAATCGACTTTAATAAGTCATAATTAAAGAAGACAAAGCCAGTTTGTTAAAAAGAAAATCGGGGGGAATGTTCATTTGTAAAAATATCATTTATTTACAATTAAGTTCATTTTTCCTACACTGAACACATTTAGAATGATCCAGAAGTCAGCCTGATTTTTAAGCATTTTCTTAAGAGAATTGTCCCTAACACATATTTCAAATAAAGAAAAAGCCTTTTTTGAATAGTAATCACTGTTTAATTGTGTAGAAGTTTAAATGTTGCCATGTGAATGCTTTTTGTATACCATACAATTTATGCATTTCTATCTCCTAAGAAGTTAAAGTTTGTAGAAAATATTTCAAGAAATTAGCAATATTTAATTTCATGGCACTTTTTTCTTAAAAGTATGGGGATAAAATCTTCATGAAGGTTATGGCAGGCCTTTTACATCATAGTTTTAAAATATTGGAAAAGAACTTTAAAAATAAATATTGGGAAAGAACTTTTTAAAAATACTCTGCTCTGTGTTTAGTTATAGTGGTTGGAATACTTAGTTATAAGAGGTATGATACAGTGTAACATTGATTCCAACTTGATTGCTTAATGCAGATGAACTTCTTTTAATGGCCGCATAGACTTGTTAATATGTGGGACCAAACAAGAACATTCCACTATTATAAAGAAATTGCAAGTAGAGATTCTTTGCATTTTGTGATCATTTTTAAGTCCCATGACTAGAATTTGAGTTAGCTCTTACATCTTAATCAGTAAGAAATCATCTACCTGAAGATTTTAGGCTTTTTTTTTCCCTCTTGCCCTATTCTATAACCTTAGTATGTTTAAAATTAGATTTTGTATACACCAAGCAAAGGTTAAGTGCTCCGCGTATTTATTTTGTTAATGTGCTTATCTGCAGTATAAATCAGCGGTGTCTTTGCTTCCAGCTATACGCAACCTCATTAGACACCTATTACATTCCTACCTTCCTACAGTAACAGGCTTCCGGCAGCCTGATCTTCAGCACTGAATTTAGTTTAAAAGTCTAGCAGGCCTTTATGGGCTACAAGCTCTGACTTCTTTCCCCCTTCAGATGGTTTAGCCAGTTAAGAAAATGCTAATTGAACACTGCTAATAATTTTTTAAAGGCATGTATAAATTACCTGCAAATAATGGCCTCGTGGAGAGCAGCTGACTCTCCTCAAAAAATGTGTTTTTCTTTTCCAGTAGAGGGACTAAATGTTTTACAGGATATTTTTCAAAAATCAGATTTCTTTCCTGAAATCAGTGCCAAATTAGTGTTTCCAAAACCCTAAAAGAAAAAATATCAGCAGACCTCTCAGCAAGTACATTTGTTGATGTTGTAACAGATTATTTCTGGGGATGCAAAGTTGAGGGTGTTTTGTTCTCACCTAACAGTGCACCCTGTCAAAGAGCTGATCTGTGCTGTCATTTGTCCCTGTTCGAACCGATTCGGTGCCGTCACTCCATCTGGAGGTTGACGAAAAGCAGTTACCAGTCGGTGATATCCAGGCACCTAGGGCCTGTGTAATCACTGAACGTCACCTCCCCCCCCACCAACAACGAAAAAGTCGGAGCTAGAAATGTGGGTTTCTTGTTCCTGTGCAGCTATTTACTTGATCAGGTGTGAATTAGAATTGTTCATTAAACGTGGTTGTTATTCGGCACAAGAGGGTGAGGGAGTCAGGAAGTAGCTGCCTACAACAGTAATTAAACATGTGTAGCCAATTACAGGCTTTCCCACTACGGCGCAAGCATATAATTTGTTAAGTCTTTCTATGAGAATAGATGAAAATAGGTACAAAAAGTGTGTCTGACTACAACATTCTCATGTTAAACATGTCAACATAAATGAACTTTAAATATATAATTTCTAGTTTGTTAACAAACTGCCGAACTCTATTGGCTAATAACAATAACATATAATTTCAGTTCAGTTTGCCAAGAAATATTGCATCTGACAGAGCCAATTAATTGTATTAAACATGATTAATTTTAGGCCAAGACTGTATTGATGATATTCATTTGGCAATTCCTAAAATGTAGAAATGAACCCTATCTGGAGGGAAAGGACAAACGGCTAAAAAGATAACGGGATTGATTTGTTAATCGAGCCACGAGCCAGGGAGGTGGTTTTCTGAGCAGAGATGCAAGCAGCACTTTTATTTTCGTCGTTACATTTGCGAATGAAAGTATTTAGCTGAAATTTCATATGTGAAACAAATGCCCATTGATTTGAACGGTTCTCCAGAATTACATTAACTCTGTAATGTCTCCACGCTGCATAAAGATAATAAATCTCTGTGGTCCACGCCCACGAGGGTTCCAGCACCCGCTGCCCGTCAGGTGCTGACGTGAGTTTGAAAGGTTACAGATGAGTTTAGCAGCGTTAACTGAGCTGGCGGAGGCATCTCTAATTTTGCTGGAAATGAGGAGGCCCAATGGTAGGGGAAATCCTAATGAGCCGTCGAAAGCTGGCTTTGTACCCAACAGACAGGGAGGCTGCGGATTGTATGAAAATATTGGAAATCAATGGCTTCTATGGAATTTCATTAAGAAACAGTATCCACAATTGATAGGGCCTCATAATTTGATGGATTGTGCTAAGAAAATGATTAGCTAGCCAGAAAGAGTCATAGAATACACACGCTGGGTCGTCAGAAACGTTGAAGTAGGGTAATTTGTAGAAAATAAAAAATATCGATTTCACTTATGTGCAGAATCCCCAGGCGCCCGGCTCACGAGCTCTCTGGTCTTTGCAGCCGCGCCCGGGGACGGCGCGCCCGAGGGCGGTGAGGAGCCCAGCGTGTGCGAGCGCTGCTGCGCCGAGTTCTTCCGCCGCGCCGACCTCGCGGAGCACAGGCGCGGCTGCGCCGAGAACCCGCCGGTGCTGATCGTGGGCGAGGATGAGCCGGCGCCGCGCGCCCCGGAGTTCCCGGCGCCGTCCCCGGCCAGCTCGGCGGGCGGCGGGACGGACAGCGAGGCCGCCGAGGACGCGGCGCCGGCGGAGGGCAGCGAGGGCGGCGAGGGCCGCGCCCCGGACGCGGGCGAGGAGCCCATGGAGGCGGAGCCCTGCGCCGACCGCGGGTGCCCGGGCCCCGCACCCGCGGGGCAGCCGCCTGTGCCCCGCGGCCCCGACGCGGGCCCCCCTGCCGCCTGGGGCCCGCCGAGCACCAACGTGACGCTCGAGACCCTCCTGGGCACCAAGGTGGCCGTGGCGCAGTTCTCCCAGGGCGCCAGGGCGGCGGGCGGGGCGGCGGGCGGCGGGGCGGCCGCGGTGGCCGTGCCCGCTATCCTGGAGCAGCTGGTGGCCCTCCAGCAGCAGCAGGTGCACCAGCTGCAGCTCATCGAGCAGATCCGCAGCCAGGTGGCCCTGATGAGCCGCCAGCCCCCGCGCCCGCCGCTGGGCGCGGCCCAGAGCGCCCCGGGGCCGGCCACGCACTCAGCCCTGCAGCCCCCGGCCGGGGCGCCCCCCGGCCCCGCGGCCCAGCCGGCGGCCCACGAGGGGCCCCCGCACCTGTCGCAGCCCACGTCCAGAGCCAGCACTCCGCACGTCCCCAGCGGGGGCCCCTCCGTCCCCACCGAGCCCGGGGGGCCGGCGTCCTGCAGCGCGGCCCCGGCCTCGGCCGCCCCGGCCTTGGGGGCCAGCGCCGTGAGCGGCGCCTCCCAGCCGCCCGCCGCCCCCACGCCGCCCGCCCTGGGGCCGGGGCCGCTGCTCAGCTCGGTGCCCAGCCTGCCCAACCCGCTTCTACCTCAAACCTCGGCCAGCAGCGTCATCTTCCCCAACCCGCTAGTCAGCATCGCGGCCACGGCCAACGCGCTGGACCCCCTGTCGGCCCTCATGAAGCACCGCAAGGGCAAGCCCCCCAACGTGTCGGTGTTCGAGCCCAAGGCCAGTGCCGAGGACCCGTTCTTCAAGCACAAGTGCAGGTTCTGCGCCAAGGTGTTCGGGAGCGACAGCGCCCTGCAGATTCACCTGCGCTCGCACACCGGCGAGAGGCCCTTCAAGTGCAACATCTGCGGGAACCGCTTCTCCACGAAGGGCAACCTCAAGGTGCACTTCCAGAGGCACAAGGAGAAGTACCCCCACATCCAGATGAACCCCTACCCCGTCCCAGAGTACCTGGACAACGTGCCCACCTGCTCCGGGATTCCCTACGGCATGTCGCTGCCTCCGGAAAAGCCGGTGACCACCTGGCTGGACAGCAAGCCCGTGTTGCCCACGGTGCCTACGTCGGTCGGGCTGCAGCTCCCGCCCACCGTCCCTGGCATCAGCAGCCACGCCGACTCCCCCAGCCTCACGCCGGCCAGCCGCTCCCCGCAGCGGCCCTCGCCCGCCTCCAGCGAGTGTACCTCCTTATCCCCTGGCCTCAACAGCTCCGAGGCAGGTGCCCCAGGGACCACCGAGTCCCCGCAGCCTGTGCTCGGTGGGCCTTGTCTGACCAAAACAGAACCTGTGAGCCTGCCGTGCACAAATGCCAGAGCAGCGGATGTCCCGGCCAGTGGGCACTTGTCCACTGCCACCACGTCGGCCACCACCACCCTCACGGACAGCAGCACATCTACAGGCCTCTGCAGCCCAGTCCTCCCGGCCGGCCCCGACCAGTTCAAGGCCAAGTTCCCCTTCGGAGGGCTGCTCGACTCCATGCAGACGTCAGAGACGTCGAAGCTGCAGCAGCTGGTGGAGAACATCGACCGGAAGATGGCGGACCCCAACCAGTGTGTCATCTGCCACCGCGTGCTCAGCTGCCAGAGCGCCCTCAAGATGCACTACCGGACGCACACCGGGGAGAGGCCGTTCAAGTGCAAGCTGTGCGGGCGCGCCTTCACCACCAAGGGCAACCTGAAGACGCACTTCGGGGTGCACCGCGCCAAGCCGCCGCTGCGCGTGCAGCACTCCTGCCCCATCTGCCAGCGGAGGTTCACCAACGCCGTGGTCCTGCAGCAGCACATCCGCATGCACATGGGCGGGCACATCCCCAACACCCCGCCGCCCGACGGCTTCCGGGACGCCGCGGACGCCGAGCTCGCCTACGACGACAGGGCCGCCGACGCACTGAGCGGCTGCGAGGACGACGCGGACGAGCACTCCATGGAGGAGGACGCCGAACCCAGGGACCCAGCCAGGCCGCTGCTGCCCCACGGGGGCTCCTGCCCGGCCTCACCCCCCTCCGTCATCTCCAGCATCGCCGCCCTGGAGAACCAGATGAAGATGATGGACTCGGTCATGAGCTGCCCGCGGCTGGCCGCCTTGCAGCCGGTGGAGAACGGGTCCGGGGACAGCGACCGGCTCAGCAACGACTCCTCGTCGGCCGCGGGCGACCTGGAGAGCCGGAGCGCGGGCAGTCCCGCCCTGTCCTCGTCTTCCTCCTCCACGCAGGCCCCCTCCCCCGTGAACAGCAACAGCGAGAGCTTGTATTCCAAGTCCCCGGGCCTCGGCCACCAGGAGGAGCCCCAGGAGGCCCCGTTAAAGACGGAGAGGCCGGACAGTCCACCTCCTGCCCCCGAAAACGGAGGCGCGCTGGACCTGACGGCCGCCCCCCTGGGCCGGCCGCCCATCAAGGAGGAGGCCCCCTTCGGCCTGCTGTTCCTGAACCGAGAGCGGGGTAAGTGTCCGAGCACTGTGTGTGGTGTCTGTGCCAAGCCCTTCGCTTGCAGGAGTGCGTTGGAAATACACCACCGCAGCCACACGAAGGAGCGTCCATTCATCTGTGCGGTCTGCAGGCGCGGGTGCTCCACCGCGGGCAATTTAAAACAGCACTTGCTGACGCACAGATTGAAAGAGCTGCCTTCTCAGTTGTTTGACCCCGACTTTGCCCTAGGTCCCAGCCAAAGCACCCCTAGCCTGGTCGCCGCCTCCGCGCCCGCCATGATCAAAATGGAAGTGAACGGGCACAGCAAGGCCATCGCGCTGGGCGAGGGTCCACCGCTGCCGGCCACGGGCCAGGTGCCCACCGGGCCTCCGGCGGTGCTGAGCCCCAGCCTTGCGCCCATGCTGGCCCCCCCGCCACGCCGGACGCCCAAGCAACACAACTGCCAGTCGTGCGGGAAGACCTTCTCCTCGGCCAGCGCCCTGCAGATCCACGAGCGCACGCACACCGGGGAGAAGCCGTTTGGCTGCACCATCTGTGGCAGAGCGTTCACCACCAAGGGCAACCTCAAGGTGAGGGCGCATCGGAGCCCCAGGGGAGCCCCGCGTGGGGAGCGTGCACCTCCTTTAGGTCAAACAGGCAGGGTTCTCGCTGTGCAGGCCCACATGAGAGGGCACTGCCTGCCCTGCGGTGATTGTACACTGTACACATGCTGTGCGTGTGCGTGCCCGTGCTGTGGGGTGAGCATGTATGCATATACCTGTGTACTGTGTGGTGAGCGGTGAGTGTGCTGGCACATTCTGTGGGCTCTGTGGGTGAGTGCATGTGTGCGTGCATGCATTGTGCATGACTGCATCAAGGGTATAGTGTGCATGCACATGTATGCATAAGTACAGTAGGTGTGATCATGCATGTAAGCTGTGCATGAGTGCTCGGGCGTGCGTGTTTGAGTGAGCACATATGTAGTGTGTGCACATACATTGCGACATAAGAGTGCCCTGTATGCTGCACCTGTGTTGTGTGCAGCATGTCTGATGCGTGTTTGTGTACACACACATTCACATAAGTGTGCATATACCCACCTACCAGGTTGTGTGTGCTGTCTGCAGCAGTGAGGGACTTGCCTTATGTGCATGCCACCCCCCCTTGGGGCTTACTCGTCTCCATTGTGTTGATGACCTATTGGGAACGACACACTTTGCTCCCTGTCAGGCAGGCCCAGGGCCTAACGCTATCTTGATCCTTGTGGAACACTGACGACCAGACAGACTGAGCCTTCAAATGCAAGCACATGGTACAGGAAACACAAATCCCATCCAGAGACGAGAGGGGGTTTTGTGGCTCTGTCCACACAGCTGCTGAGAGGGGCTGGTGGGCATGTGGTGAGAAGCCTCCAGCCTAGGGGCAGAAAGAAGTCAGCGTCATGCTCACATGAAGGCATGCCTGCACTGCTCTCACGGGTGGGAGAGTGCGTCAGGGGACACTGGCCAGCTGTGTCTCCACTCAGCTATACTTGCTGATTCCTGTCCCCGCATCAAGTGCCCACTGGGTTTCAGTGACCTCTTCAGAGACCGCAGAAAGGCCAGTACCTGTAGTTTCCACGTCCTGGACAAATGAGCTGCCTGTCTGCTGAGCACAGATGCCAGGATGCCTCCTGTGCATCTGGGCGACAGCACCCGAGGAAGGAGGCATCCAGCACAGAGGCCAGGACGTGTAAGAATAGGATGATGTGCAGGGGCAGCCCAGACGAGGGAGTCAGGGGCAAGGCCCGTGCCCTCTGAGCTGTGGACTGTCCTCTGGTGGCCTCAAGGGTCCCACCTCAGGGGGACTGTTCTGTCCCTCAGGTTTGTCAGGTGGAAGGAGTGCCCACTAATGCATTAGCTGGCTCTACTTTTTGAATTTAGTAAAAAGATGTTGCATGCTTAAGTAGAAGATGCTAAGAAAAGTTCACTTCAGTGTTCTGTTGTCCCCAACTAACGTTTAAGATGGGAAAAGAAAATCATCCTGAAAGAGGGGCCAGCCCTGGGTTTCGTTCGGGATGGCTTGTGGGGCGTGAGGACGTGCCACGTGGCCTGCGCCGGGCTTGCTCACATGTGGCTTGTCTCTGTGTCTCCCGTGCAGGTGCACATGGGCACACACATGTGGAACAATGCCCCCGCCCGGCGCGGCCGCCGCCTGTCAGTAGAGAACCCCATGGCCCTGCTGGGTGGTGATGCCCTGAAGTTCTCAGAAATGTTCCAGAAGGATCTGGCAGCACGAACAATGAGCGTGGACCCCAGCTTTTGGAACCAGTACGCTGCGGCTCTCACCAACGGTCTCGCCATGAAGAACAACGAGATCTCCGTCATCCAGAATGGAGGTGTACCCCAGCTCCCCGTAAGTCTCGGCGGAAGCGCCATCCCCTCGCTGGGCTCCCTGGCTGCCGGGATGGACAAAGCGCGCACCAGCAGCAGCCCGCCCACTGTGGGTTTGGACAAAGCAAACTCTGACACAGGCACCAGCCGCCCGTTCACCAGGTTTATTGAGGATAACAAGGAGATCGGGATTAACTAGCGGTGCGCCTCTTGCCCGGCTCTCCCTGCAGCCTTACCTCCGGTGGGCACGCGTTAACTTTGGCTGCTGAAAGGCTGCCTAAGCGCTGTGTGGTACTCGCCACGGGGGCCGGACTGTTCGCCAGCTCTGCAGCCTCTTACATGACTTGAAGTCTGACAAGTCCTAGAAATCGTCTTGGGAACAGCAGGGCTCAGACCCCATCCACTCTGTTTCTCCTGAAACCAAATACTCCAAGGCACAGGGGGTCGGTCCCCTGCAGTGTTTCAGTGAGACTCAATTGTGGTTTTGTTTGAATTAGTTAGACTTGAACGGTCTTTAGAACTCTTAACTTAAAAAGACGTGGTCTAGTACTCTCAACGCTGTGTCTTATGCCAGTACCTTTGTCTGTAGTATTTATAATGTTAAGATTATGCGGGTAACAGATAATATAGCCCCAAATTGGAAGGAAGCTTTTGTACTGCAGGATCATCTGGCTATGCTATTTTTTTTTTTTTAAGCAAGATTTGATTTACTATAAATAAGTGGGTTATTTCAGTGCAGGCAAACTGTGAAGTTCTCTTGGGAAAGATAGCATGCTTTTGTGTGCAAGTACCTGTCAGTAACAAGACTTTTTTTTTTTTTTTTAATTTAAATGTTTGTAGCTGCTATGTGGACAATTGTTCGTAGTGCGGTCTGTAGCCCAGCGATGGGGAACAAGTTACAGGCAAACATCACCGTAAATTACTCACATTAAAAACAGTTGTGAGTAAATACTCCACGTTATCAAAGCTGTACAATAAAAAGGTAATGTTTGTATAATGTGGTTGCAAACTTAATTTATACTATTGCACTTTTAGTATTTTGTATTAGGTTTGTCTATAATTTGAAAATTTTAAAATATGTAAAGTATTTTATAAATAGTACTTTGGTTTATGGAAAATGATAAAAAAAAAAAAAAGACTGTTACAGTTTCTTGTTTTGTCTCAAGGTCAGACGATATGAGAAACCTATGCTACTTACACAGAAAAGCCACTCATCAGCTCCTCTATAAAGCAGGGCCTGCCATTTCTTAAAATGATTTATTCAACTTTTCTACAAAGCCCATTTAAAAACTTGACCCCTAATGGAACTCTGATGAATTCCTCCTAGGATGGTGCCGCCAGCACAAGACAGGGGCTGAGAACACTGGGTATAACCTTACTGTACTCTTCTCTCTCCCATGCCCGCAAACAAGGTCCAGACTGCCTGCGAGCAGTGGTGGTCGCGTCCAATAAACTGGAGAGAAATGTCGGGTGTCTGGCAGTTAATCGGTCGTAACTGGGACCTTTTCTGCATTCCTGATTTATTTATTCTTAGATGAAAACCAAGCACAATGTTGTCTGATTATTCAAAATACAGTCTCAAGCAGGTGACTCTGTGTACCTGCTTTGAGTGAGGAGAGGGGCTGGGCGCCAGGCAGGGCCGAGGGGGCTGCTACACGGGCAGCGCTGTGTGTTCTACCTCATTTTGTGCGTTGCAAGCGTGCTGCAGTCCGGAATGATGAACCTCCTGCAAGAACGTTGTTCCGGAGATGCCCTGGGTGGCTGGGTGAGCGTGTAAGGAGCTGTGCCTCTGAAGAAGCAATCAGACAGTGGCATCTTCTCAGTTCAAACAGAATAAAAATAGGACAATCTTTCCAACACGGCCACAGCAACACCAAAACCACATCGTGTCATTGAAGAAAACAATTCTCCCGACTCCGAAACGGGCAGACTTAGCTGTTCATCTGTGGGGATGAACGTTGAGCTGCACAGCTCTGCGCTGTTCTCCACGGTGATGGGATACGGTGCCATCCCTTCCCGTGGGATGAGCCAGGGGTTCTCAGCATCGGGGAGAGAAAGCTGAGCTTGCTGTTGCTGGGTTTCAGCAGTTGAATGTTTTATTATTTATCTGTGTCCTTTCTGGTGTGATGTTTTTTTGTTTTTTGGGTTTTTTTGGTATTTGGTACCATGTGGTGTTTTCTCCCAAAAGGATGTGTATATAACTGAAAAAAAAGAAATGTAAAGTGCTGTAAATAAGATGGCTCATGAAGGGACAGTGAGACTGACCCCTAAGCTGTATTCGGGGCTGGCCATCCCTCCTGCATGGTGAAGAGAGACACTATTTTTCTATTGCAATACCATGTAGGGCCAGGGGCCTCCCTGAACCGGCTGGGCATTGTTACCTAGATCCAATATTTTTATGATGAAATCTGTGGCTCGACATATCTGCTGATTGAAATGGATGTCGTAGTGTAGGTCACTATTTTTGTCACATGGAATTGAATAAAATGCAGGATGTGATATTATTTCTGAATTGCGTTCCTGATTATTCAAATGGAAGCAGTGGAATCTGAGCTTATGGTCATTGGTGGAGTATATCCGTGGTGTTTCTCCAAGGGAAGTCAATGAAGTTGACAGCTTAGAGCTAAGTAAGATTTAAGTGTATCTTGACTGGGCTTGAAATGGTTAGTTTCTACTTTTTTTTGAAAATAACTATGTAGCCTCCTATATTTTTTTATATCTATCATGGAAAAAGTTACAGAAAATGCCTGATTATTGGAGACTTTTGTCCAAAAATGACTACACTCTGAATTACCTTCCCATCATCAGCATTAAGTGAAAATATTGGCTCTTTGGGTCACTGGAAAAATAAATAGCCATGCATCAAATCACATTATAGGGAAGTGCTCCAGTGGGCTGGGGCAGCTTTGTGTCCCCGCTAAACCCCATTTCTTTGTCCACTGGCTCCAGGGGGAGGATGTAAAGAATAAAGAAGCTTTATCTCACCTGACACTTGGTGAGACTTGATCAAGTTTGAAGTTTAAGTCTTAGAAAGAAAATTTTATAGCTCCTAGATTTTAACCTAAACAACCCATTTCATCTTTTAAATAACTACTGATGCCTAGAAGCCACAGTAATTTTTACCTGGGAAGTGCCCAGACATTTTAAAGGACTGATCGAGGTACTAACCGGCCAGGCCACCCCCCAGCACAAATCATAGGCCTTAGGAATTAAACCATGTTGATTTCAGTGCTGGAATAGAAATTATGAGATATAAACTGACTAAATCAGCTTCAATTTTTTTTTTAATGGTAAGGAAATAGCAAAGATTGCTAGAACCATTTAAAATAATTTAATTTGAAATGCTGTGGGGAAAGGGGATTTAACTTCTTATTTCAAAAATATTTCCAATGTGAAACCAGAGGTATTTCAGCCTAACAAGCCTGGATATTTACTTCTCACTGACATCAGCTCTAGTTGCTTAGACAATATATCAAAGAATCATAAATGCCAACAATTCCTAAAAATTACTTATTTAAATATATTTCTATTCTATTCATTACAGGAACCATTACCATTTAAAACTAATTTAAAAAGTATTGCTAAAGGGCTAAAAAAGCAATTGTTTTTAAATTCTGCACTGTTTAATTTTATCCCCCGGAAGCTTGAAGGCAGAGTGGGTCCCCCTGCCTGCTGCCCTGCCTGGCAGATGCGCCTGCTCCTGCCCTTTCCAGAGCCATAGCGAATGGCAGGAGTGTCTCCTTATCACCAGGCTGGCTACTTGTTTCCAGCCCACCCAACCTCAAACCACTGCGCTCCTTTTGGCCGTCTGTCCGGTGCCCCAGAAGTCCAGAGCCCTCGCTTCTCCCCCCAGGGCATGCTTGGGGCAGGGTGATAATGTCACACACATGGGATGCTGTGTCTAGCCTGTCACCTTGAAAGCATGCCAGTCAACCTGGGGGCCTTGGGCTTCAATCTTTTGTGCTGGTTAACTGACTGCCGGAGCTGAGGTCAGGGGTGGGGGTGTGAAGCACTTATTTACTCCTCGGAACGTCTCTGGCCAGACAGAGCCTGGTTGAGAGGCTGCAAAATGCTTCTGGGAGCAGGTCTGTTTGCTGATGGTTAGCTTGGTTGAAACGGAATCTACAAAGTATTCTATACAAAACTAGGAATACAGTGAAATCCCCCTGTTCTTTTTCACTTAAGAGGGGAATAGTACTATTTCAGCACTCCTTGTGACAGGAGTGAAATCGGAGGCGTCTTCCCGCCAACCTCTTGGTGGTGAGCTCATGGGCTCAGGCGCGTCCCCACGCCCAGCTGGCATGCTCTCAGGGGGTCACAGGATGGGGGACCTGCCTTCCCACCTGCTCTCTGCTTCATTATCTCTAAGACCCTGGTAGAACTGGGTGGCATGAAAATCCCTGCCATTCCTAAAATTGGGTGTATGTTTTTTTAAGAACTACCACTGATGTACTTTTCTTTCCCCCTCAAATTCACGAGATAGACCATTTGACAGTATTTATGTAGAGAGAAAATACAAATGATTACCTAAGAATATAAATATGAAAAATGTATTACAAATGACTTTGCTGAAGAAAATATGTAGAATCATTTCTGGACCTTGAAAAAAATGTGTTGATATCTTTGATTTTTTTAAGTCATTGAATTTATTGAAGCTTTTTAAAATGCACCTGTAAGGTATAATAAAATCAAGTTCTGTGAACATTAAGCTTACTGCATTTCCTATCAGAGAAGAGTCTTAAAAGCAATTTCTTTTCTGTCATATACATTGCACATGTAAGTACACAGAGCTGCTCTTCATTAAGATAATATGTATATATATATATATATATATACACACACAAGAGTATGCTAAATTTAAAGCGATTGTTATTTCTTACTATTCTTTTTAGTAAAATATTACAGAACCTAAATGCTGAACACTGGTTGTTTTCCTGTCCTGATTTATAACTACATCTACATGTTTGGGGCTATCTTCTTTGAAGTATGGATTGCAATCTGGTCAGCTCTGCCTCCAGTTAGTCCACTCATCCACTTAGGACTGAATTCAGTGCTTCACTGAGCGCTGAAACAACCCAGTGGAGAGAAATCAGAAAGTTAGACAGGAGAGAGAAGGAAGAGGCGTCATTCTTGAAGCATGCATTTGTGTCACCACGTCAAGTTCTTCATGTCCCTAAGTAAGTGACAGTCATGCCCACGCCATCCAAGCACGTGTCCAGACCCGTGTGAACCACTCATAGTATATGATTCAAACGTGGAAATAGATGTCTGATTACAGTAATTCCAAATGTGATTTATTTGTGAACACGGGCATTTTGTAAGCTCCCCAAATACTTTCTAAGTTGGTATGACACATTCTTTTAAATCACAGAATGATGTGTAAAGTAGACTGTTTACAGAGAAGTGTGAACTATTTCCTTTGCTCCCTGTCCTGGTATTCACAAATGCCATTTATTTTCTTTCTAGCTTAACTTTCAGGACAGCTGAATGTTAATAACCTTTTATAAGTGGGGTATTAATATCTAAATGACAAAAGCCATTGCGTTTCTCCTACAAATGGCAGGTCTTTTGGTTATATGTATGATACAAAACATTTGTTTATTTTTCCTATTTGCTCTGTCAACGAGAGTTGGAAAGCAGCTCTTGTTATGACCTGAGAACCCAGAAGCACTGCTCCAAAGAAAAACAAGCAGGCTTAGAAAACATAGTTTCCACACTTCAGATGGCAGAAGTTTTTAGGGAGACATAGCGGGAAGAGCAGATAGAAACTTACCCACACATTCAAATGATTTAAAAATCAATTAGGTTTTGAATTACAAATCCATTTCCAAGTCACAAATAAGCCGAGTCATTTTGTTTTTCCTGGGGAAATCACTGGTCTGGTGACAGTTCTTTGAGGTAATGAGGGCATGCAAAGAATAAGAAACACTAATATTTGCTGCATATTTTCTCTTCATTCATTCTTTTCACTCATTACTCAATTTCTTCTTGGTTGTGTTTTATGTGTGGCCCACGCATCTGAAGGCTGCTTAAAATGCTGGGTTTGAGGTCACTGAGAAGAGAGCTCTGCGGCCCAGACACCTCACTGGGGGACTTAGGAAATGGTACAGATAATTCAAAGGAGGTGGATACTGTGAAGCACTCAGTTACATCAGTCTGTAGACAGGTAGGCTCAACAGTAAGTCGCACCAGCCTGTAACTTAACTCAAGGAACAACTAGATCTTCATTCACTACATATTGAGAGAGGAACACCAGCTTCTAAAAGAAGCCTGCCTAGAGACTGTACAGTGAATAAATCCTAACAGAGGCACAGAATAACAGTCACCAGCATCTCAGTGCAGTGTTACAGCTGTGCACACCCCATAAATTTTCCATCAGGAACGATAGGCAATTTTGGAAAATGAGCTCTATCAATAAATATTTGTAAATGATTATTTTTTCTGGAGGAAATGTCCAGTTATATATATATATATACACACACAAGAGTATGCTAAATTTAAAGCGATTGTTATTTCTTACTATTCTTTTTAGTAAAATATTACAGAACCTAAATGCTGAACACTGGTTGTTTTCCTGTCCTGATTTATAACTACATCTACATGTTTGGGGCTATCTTCTTTGAAGTATGGATTGCAATCTGGTCAGCTCTGCCTCCAGTTAGTCCACTCATCCACTTAGGACTGAATTCAGTGCTTCACTGAGCGCTGAAACAACCCAGTGGAGAGAAATCAGAAAGTTAGACAGGAGAGAGAAGGAAGAGGCGTCATTCTTGAAGCATGCATTTGTGTCACCACGTCAAGTTCTTCATGTCCCTAAGTAAGTGACAGTCATGCCCACGCCATCCAAGCACGTGTCCAGACCCGTGTGAACCACTCATAGTATATGATTCAAACGTGGAAATAGATGTCTGATTACAGTAATTCCAAATGTGATTTATTTGTGAACACGGGCATTTTGTAAGCTCCCCAAATACTTTCTAAGTTGGTATGACACATTCTTTTAAATCACAGAATGATGTGTAAAGTAGACTGTTTACAGAGAAGTGTGAACTATTTCCTTTGCTCCCTGTCCTGGTATTCACAAATGCCATTTATTTTCTTTCTAGCTTAACTTTCAGGACAGCTGAATGTTAATAACCTTTTATAAGTGGGGTATTAATATCTAAATGACAAAAGCCATTGCGTTTCTCCTACAAATGGCAGGTCTTTTGGTTATATGTATGATACAAAACATTTGTTTATTTTTCCTATTTGCTCTGTCAACGAGAGTTGGAAAGCAGCTCTTGTTATGACCTGAGAACCCAGAAGCACTGCTCCAAAGAAAAACAAGCAGGCTTAGAAAACATAGTTTCCACACTTCAGATGGCAGAAGTTTTTAGGGAGACATAGCGGGAAGAGCAGATAGAAACTTACCCACACATTCAAATGATTTAAAAATCAATTAGGTTTTGAATTACAAATCCATTTCCAAGTCACAAATAAGCCGAGTCATTTTGTTTTTCCTGGGGAAATCACTGGTCTGGTGACAGTTCTTTGAGGTAATGAGGGCATGCAAAGAATAAGAAACACTAATATTTGCTGCATATTTTCTCTTCATTCATTCTTTTCACTCATTACTCAATTTCTTCTTGGTTGTGTTTTATGTGTGGCCCACGCATCTGAAGGCTGCTTAAAATGCTGGGTTTGAGGTCACTGAGAAGAGAGCTCTGCGGCCCAGACACCTCACTGGGGGACTTAGGAAATGGTACAGATAATTCAAAGGAGGTGGATACTGTGAAGCACTCAGTTACATCAGTCTGTAGACAGGTAGGCTCAACAGTAAGTCGCACCAGCCTGTAACTTAACTCAAGGAACAACTAGATCTTCATTCACTACATATTGAGAGAGGAACACCAGCTTCTAAAAGAAGCCTGCCTAGAGACTGTACAGTGAATAAATCCTAACAGAGACACAGAATAACAGTCACCAGCATCTCAGTGCAGTGTTACAGCTGTGCACACCCCATAAATTTTCCATCAGGAACGATAGGCAATTTTGGAAAATGAGCTCTATCAATAAATATTTGTAAATGATTATTTTTTCTGGAGGAAATGTCCAGGTTTTTCATCAGCTCAGCACATTCTGTGGGACTTGACAAAAGCCATTTGTCCATGATACTAATTCCGTGCACTTAAAGACACTTCCTGTACACTTGCCCCCATTCTCATTGCAGCTCTTACCCAGACTGGTCTCCGGGCTGGGTGTGTGTTCTTTCGATGTGTGTTTTAACCTTGATCCCTGTATGAAGACCAGGAGGGCAGGTTATTTAAACTGTGGTGATGATTTGGTGTGTTTCAGGGCAGTTGCGAAGCCTGAACTCAATGGGACGGCCCTTTTCCCGTGGCCTAAATACTGGACTTCAGAAACACACATTTAGTGGCCTTGGAAGAAATGAAAATCACAACAGGACTTGGCACTAACAGAAGACAGTTTTCTCACAAGACCTGAAAAGAGAAACGGAGCCTCTCCCCCAACTCTCAGCTTCAATCCATGGCACTAGGGCCAGCGTGCCATGGGCACGCACAGACACATGATGTGCGTGCTCCTCCCCTGGGCGAGAAAGCACCCCTGCGGGTCTGTGGGGTGCGAGAGGGATGGAGGGAGGGTGCGTGCCCACAGCCAGCCCGACACCAGGGCCTCCTGCCCAGGACCAACTCGATCATGGAGACCCACAGTGAAGAGCGGCTCGTGCTGTGTGCTGGAGGCTGTCTAACTTGACTGGCTCTGAGAGCATTAAGAGAAAATTGTGGGCCATGTAAAAATTTTAAGTGCATTAAAATAATATTTGTAATCCCAGAAAAAAAGTCCATACCCCAAACCTAACCTTTAGGAATGAACTATGAAGAGAAACTAAGTACAAGATGTCGCAGAAAAAGGACGTTGCTGGGCTGTTGAGAATGCTTACTTTTTAAATATTTTAAACCCCAATCTTTATCTTGCAAGTCTGATAAGAACTGTTTTGATCTTTACTTCTATATTTATAGGCTTACTTTCTTGATAAGCTCTATGTGCAAGAGTGACTCTTTAAGAACCAACTTTCAAAGGAGGTGCACTTAGTTCAGCAAATACCTTTTGGTCCAGAGTAAGTTAAGATTTTAGAGCCGAAAATGATGTTGAGCTTAATTATTTTATTATTGCATACTCCCTGAAGTAAGGAAATGCTGGTTTCTCTGAACTTCATGGGCACAGATAAAACAGCACGTGTTCGCAAGGCCGACCTGACTGTCCTATTGGACAGTATTTAAAAATTGCATGTTTGATATTATTTGCATTTTCTCTGCTTTCATCATTAAAGAGATTGGCGCTTTTCTTTTTCTGTGTTGGAATTCCATACCAGGATGACAGTGGTTTAGCGGCAATGCTGCAATGTTAATCCACTTACACGGGCAGAACCAGGCATGTGTTTCAGGCTGAGGAGCCACCCCCCGTGTGTGGGTCTCTCTCTATTCCTGCACCTACTGTAACCTCTGGTTTTCAAGCCAAAGCTAGTTTCCTTTAGAAACGTGAAACCAATCTTAAAACATTCCAACCTTTCTAAACTATAAAATACTTTCAAAAATTAGAAATAAAATATGGAATAAAACCAGTCTCCTGGCTCTTGAGCACGAGGGTTGCCACAAGGTCCTGGGGCTGCCGGGGAGGAAGGTGGCTGCCTCCTGGCTCTGGTGGGGC